GCCACTGCCTTCCTGAGGGTCACAACCGCTACCCCAGCCCCTGGGAGGTGCGAGGGGAGGGACCGGGCTGCCCAGGAGCCACGCTTCCCTTGCCGCTGGGACGTCTCAGCTGAGGTAGCTGTGTTTCGAGAAAGATGAGGATTAAATGGAGAAAGCTAGAAGGGAGAGAGAAATGCAAGTCCTCAGAGGTCCAGAAAGCGCAGCGTTGATGCAAAATGGGAGTTCGCTGGGGATTCACATAGGTGAGGAGCAAGTGCAGTAAGAAAGAGAAGAATCCGCCCTCCATTCCTAAGAAACAAGGGGATGAAATTATGGCAAGGAGAATTCAAATTGTGTACCAAGAAAACAAAAAGGATAATGAAGTGCTGGGACAGGCTGCGTGTGAGAGTGTTGGAATGACTGCAGATTGCCCAAGAACAGCCCAAATGCACGTTTGAGAGCATGCATGGACAGCTAAGCCCTCTTCGGGACTGTGGGAGGATGCGACTTCTGCCAATTCCAGCCTTACGGTGCTACGAGCGGGTTTATCCTTTGGTTTGCCTCTGATATTGCTAAATATGGGGGTAGTACATCGAAATGTGTTTTCTGGATTTTGAAAAAAGCCCTGAATGGAACCAGCATTTGCCTGCTTTGCTGATGATCTTTTTTTGATACTTGCAGTTTTTATTTGGGAAGGAGAGGGTGAAGCATTAAGTGGAGGATAAGGCAGACAGAAAGTTGGCAGCAAAAGCTGTTTAGAAGTTGTGTAGTTGTCAGAAACTAAATTTGTACCTTTTTTTTTTTTTTCTGAGTTCTGGAATCTACACGAAGCTTGCATTTAAAGTAATGAAGAGATTAAAATAAATTCTTTGCGTGTGCTCAGGAGACTTTGCATCTTATTCCAGGGGCCTTGATGCTCTCAGCAAGAAAGTGAAGTCTTCCACGATTGATTTACCTATTGAGTCAGTCAGTCTGAGCCTTCAAGACTTGATTGGCTACTTTCACCCTCCTGATGAACACCTAGAGCATGAAGACAAGCAAAACAGGCTGCGAGCACTGAAGAATCGCCAGAATCTCTTCCAGGAAGAGGTAGTTCTTTCAGTTTTACTCCTGATTTTCCACCCTCTTGCCAACAGCTATTCTGTTGAAGTCTGGGATGCTGACATCGAAGCTCAAGTACATTTTCAGTGTTTTTTTTTTTCTTGTAGGTCTCAAGCTAATTGCTACATGTGCAATCTCTTTAGATCTGTTATTTTATGGTTTTCCTGTACATTGAGAGAAATACATGGAAGGCCTTATTTTTTTCTGAGTATTAGATACTAATATTGACTGCAAGCCCTGAATTATGACCCTAATTTACTCCTTGTATGTGAAATTCTTCTTCATAGCTTTATCTTTTTAGACAAAAAGATGTTATGGTTTAATAAGCATGTGCTTAATTTGAAGTGTTTTGTGTAACAGTGCTTATTATTTCTCTAGTACTGATGGTTTGCCCAGAATTAGCCAGATATCTAAATGCCTTATAGAGAGGAAACTTGCCTATAATTGCGCTTGGGATGCCATTTAGTTTTTTTGTTTGGTTTTAGTTTAGTTTTGACCATCTTGCGTCATGAATTTTTATTACCATAGCACTGTAGAATGTTCTTCAGCATTTTTTTTGTTTGTTTTTTTAACTTTTCCACAGATATTACTTGTCTGACTTTACTGGTCTGATTCCATAGGTATCTTATATTTTCATATGTTCTTTATTTTCTTAGATTTCTGAAAATCTCATGTGTTTGCACCTAAAAAATACTTTTTTTTTTTCCTCTGACAATCTGAGCATTTCTGTTTTTAGGGTATGATCAACCTTGTCCTCGAATGTATTGATCGCTTGAATGTATACAGCAGTGCAGCTCATTTTGCAGATGTAGCTGGGAAGGAAGCTGGAGAAGCATGGAAATCTATTCTGAATTCTTTATATGAATTACTAGGTAAGCCATTAATCGTCAGGTGAAAAGAAATGCGTAGGGGTTTTGGTACAGAAGACTTGCTACTTATGCAGAAAAATTAGGATAGAAATTAAGCAAGTATATCTGATTAGAATAAGTTGATACTTTAAAGAATCCAGGGATTTTGCTTTTCCAGGTCTTGCGTATGGTTAAGGATGAAATACACTGAAAATACTCAAATGTGATTTTTTCTGGTAATATATATTATGGTAGATAGATGCTAATAGGTTTCTGACTTCAGTTGAGTGATGGATTGCTTTTTCGTATCCTCATCTTTCCCATGTATCTCATGTACCGCCCAAAAATATGTAAACCAAATATATGTGTAGATGTCAGACATTGTGGTCAGTTTTGTGTAAGCCTTTTCACATCAGATTGCAGAACTGCAAAGTAAATCTAAAGCTTCTGTAACCAAGATCCATTCTGCTAATCAGGAATTAGTAGTAACTCCAGCCTTATACTAGGATACAGTGTGCCATGGAAAGGTGCTGTCTTTTAAGTGCAGCACAATATGAAGATCTCGTCCATTTGTAGTCCCTCAAAATCTCATAGTGTAAGTATGTAAATATTAGCCATGGTTTCCTGGTCAAATTTCTGTTCAGGTAGTAGCATTTCAAGCTGATTTGTTTGCATAGTAATTTGAACTGCATATGTTCTTCTTCATGTCTTACTGTGATTCATTATATAGGGTTATTATCCAGTGCTATAGTTGTCTGCATATTCATTGCTGCACTTTGACTCAGGGGAAGGGGCCAGATGTGTGTTTCCAGGACTTTAGGATAGTTTCCAAACTTATAAAAAACCCCTACGTTTATTTTGTAACGCTTGGCCGTCTTGCTCAATTCTCCAAACAGGTTTATCTTAAAATAATAAAGGATGCCATAGGACTTGCAGATCTTTCCTTCCTAATTTGTAGCAGATAAAAGCAGTGATTCCAAATTTGACTTTGGAAAAGAAAATCTGAGATGCGTATGCCTCTTTCCTTTTTGTTACACTTTTCAGCTTTAACATGGAGGCTTGCTTGTCTTAAAAATACATATATTTTGGCAAAACCTTGAGTTTGGACACGGTCCTCATGCAGGACTGTTATTTCAGGCTTTCCGATAGAGAGAGTGATAGATGGATGTGTCATTCATATTCACAAAATCCTGCTTATGAGAAATGTGGTACTGCAAAGTTGTGCAAATAAAGCAATGTTATACATCAATTCCATTAAAAAACTTCATAGCTGAATACTGAATTTGTAGAATGAAGCAAGTCAAGAAGTTAGGAAATGCCCAGATTAATGTACTGTGTTTGGTATTAATTGGCTCTTTTGTGGGTACGCATTGCGAAATATAATCACATACTAGTTTTTCTACAGGACTCATTAGTTATTTAGTACTCATTTATTATTGGGACTTAGTACTTAGTTTTCTCTCACTTAGTTACTCAGTGTGTGCCCTTAAACCTTATTTATTGTACACTTTTAAATTCTGTTTGGAAAACAAAGCTGTTAATTTATCTTGGAGTTCTTTTGTGGCAGTTAGGATTAGTGATCTGAATAATTACAGCTCTTTAAGTATTTTGTGGCTATACTTCTCTAAGGCAAAGAGAAGGAATTATCTCTCTTTCACTGACAGGAATGGTTGCAGAGAGAAATTTAGGTAAAAAGTTTCCACCAGTGTTGGGTCCCAAATTGAGAGTTGTGGGATGTGACTTTTTTTTTTTTTTTTAAAGACTGTTTAGCAGTATTTCATGCATGCAAGGCATGCTGAAAGCCTGCATTCCTTAGAATTCAGAGGCACAGAAAATGAGGTCTAAATGGCCTGTTTCACTTCACATACAAAAATGACAAAGATGAAATATATCTGGCCTAACTGCAAGGTGGTTTGTTTGTTTGTTTACTTCTCTTGAAACTGTCTTTTCCTCTCCTTACTACCCAACAGCAAAGTGCAGCAAATGTGGCAGGAGTTCTGTATGTAGTAGCCTCCTCACTATACAAAGCCTTTTCATAGGCTAAGTAGGTCTATCTTGTGCTTTTGAAGGAGATGAAAATCCCATTGGCGAAAAAAGTAGGATAATCAAGGTACGTGGCATAGTCTTAATGTGACCAATGGGGTGCTTCCATTGGGCCCACTACCTTCAGAGAAAACATGAAATTTACTCGGTAAATATCATTGAGACAACCAGACAGCCTCGTTTACCCTCCAGAGATCATGGAAAGAGCTAACTGAACAGTGGCTGCTGTCACTGTTGTCTCCATGGGCTGTTAGGGTGGGAGATGGTTCCTTTGGCCAGGATTCTGCTCTAGCAGTTGCTGGGATCTAACCACCTCTACGTAATAGAAGTTTGTAGCATGATGCACATACACAAGGTGGTTCAGTCTAGGTTGCATGGGTATGTGACGTTTCCTAACATTGAATTGCCGTATTTTCTGACATATATAAGGTAATTTTAGTGTTATTGTGTTTGAATTTCCATGGTTTTTAATATGTACAAGCTAAATCCAGCCTCTACACCCCTTTCCCCAACTCCGTAAGTTACAACGCAGTGACGAGTGCAGGTGAGTCAAAAGCAGGACTGGAACTTCAGATACCTCAGTCAGACTGCTTTGATTTCAGCTCGTAAGAATGACTTGTAGCAAAGGTACACTGTTTTCCTTGGTATTGTAGTTCTCTATGAGGAACCGTTTTAGAGGTGGGTGGGAGCTTTTGGAAATAGATTTAGGATATTTGATGATTTGTCTTGGGAAAATGAATTATATTGCAAGCTCTTGAGTGGAGTGTCCAGATTCTCTCTCCTTCCCCTGCCCTTTTTTTCCAAAGGTAACTCCTTTCTGTCTAACCTTTTTCAAATGGGGATAGGTTTTTCTCGTGTGCATGAGACATGCGTATTACAGCTCCATTCTTTGCTTATCTTTGGCAATTTCTTTCTGTCTTCAGAATACTATGGGCTGTTAAAGAAAATGAAGAAAATATTTCCTGTTGTTTTCACTATATTGGAAAAAAAAAAAGCTTTGGCTATTTCATTTTTGCAAGTAGCCAAACTGTTTAGTCTGAATTGTTTGAAGATAGCTCCACCGTTGACAGGCAGAAAGGATTGCAAATCTTTACCTGTTAAAAATTGGAAAAGCTGCTTGAAACTAGACTAGGCTTTCACACTGAAAATGATAATAAAGCTTAGTATCACAGAATGATAGACTGGTTGAGGTTGGAAAGGACCTCTGGAGATCATCTAGTCCAACCCCCCTGCTCAAGCAGGGTCACCTAGAGCACATTGCACAGGACCCTGTCCGGATGACTTTTGAGTATCTCCAGGGATGGAGAGTCCACAACCTCTCTGGGCAACCTGTTCCAGTGCTCTACGTCACCCTCACAATAAGGAAGTTTTTCCTCGTGTTCAGACGGAACCGCCTGTGTTTCAGTTTGTGCCCGTTGCCTCTTGTCCTATTACTGGGCACCCCTGAGAAGAGTCTGGCTCCATCTTCTTTATACCCTCCCTTCAGATACTTATATACAGTGGTAAGATTCCCCCCACGGTCTTCTCCAGGGTGAGCACGCCCAGCTCTCTCAGGCATTCCTCATGTGAGAGATGCTCCAGGCCCTTCGTCATCTTAGTAGCTCTTCGCTGCACTCACTCCAGTATGAGCTTCTCACCACACCATTATGCTTGTTATATTTTCCCTTCCTTTGCTTCCCTACCCTAATACCTGTATGAATACTTGAAGATATGACATTGTGTAATTTGGGGCAGGTTGCTGCCCCAAAAGTGAGTGTAAAATGGGAGGGGGGG